GAACAACATCCTACCCGGGGACTGAACAGCGAAGTACTACCGGGTGAACAGCAGCCCACCCATGCCCATAGAACAACAAAAGAACAATGTGAACAGCATCCTACCCGGGGACTGAACAGCGAAGTACTACCGGGTGGACAGCAGCCTACCCATGCCCATAGAACAACAAAAGAACAATGTGAACAGCATCCTACCCGGTGACTGAACAGCGAAGTACTACCGGGTGGACAGCAGCCTACCCATGCCCATAGAACAGCAAAAGAACAGTGTGAACAGCATCCTACCCGGGGATTGAACAGCGAAGTAGTACCGGGTGAACAGCAACCTACCCATGCACATAGACCAGCCAAAGAACAATGTGAACAGCATCCTACGAGGAGGAAACATCACCGAGGTATCCCAAAGTGGGGCGCCACACACACACTCATCAAGGACAACACAAAGGTGAGATTTGAAGCATCCTATGAGGAGAAAACATCACCGAAGTATCTCGGAGTGGAGCGCCACACACACATTCATCAAGGACGACATAAAGACGAGATTTGAAGCAATCTATGAAGAAGAAACATCACCGAAGTATCCCGAAGTGAAGCGCCACACACAGTCATCAAGGACAACATAAAGACAAGATTTGAAGCAATCTATGGGGAGGAAACATCACCGAAGTATCCCGAAGTGAAGCGCCACACACACACTCATCAAGGACAGCATAAGACAAGATTTGAAGCATCCTATGAGGAGGAAACATCACCGAAGTATCCCGAAGTGAAGCGCCACACACACACTCATCAAGGACCGCATAAAGACAAGATTTGAAGCATCCTATGAGGAGGAAACATGACCGAAGTATCCCGAAGTGAAGCGCCACACACACTCATCAAGGACAGCATAAAGACCAGATTTGAAGCAATCTATGAGGAGGAAACATCGCCGAAGTATCCCGAAGTGAAGCGCCACACACACACTCATCAAGGACAGCATAAAGACAAGATTTGAAGCATCCTATGAGGAGGAAACATCACCGAAGTATCCCGAAGTGAAGCGCCACACGCACACCCATCAAGGACTGCATAAAAGTAAGATTTGAAGCATCCTAGGAGGAGGAAACACCACGGAACATTCACAGGTGGATCGCAACCCATCCAGGCTCCCAAGTTAGTGAAAACTCAAAGTTTGAAGCATCAACACAAAGGGAAACATCACGGACCTTTCACAAGGTGAATCGCAACTCATCCAGGCTCCCAATTCAGTGAAAACTCAAAGTTTGAAGCACCAACACAAAGGGAAACATCACGGACCTTTCACAAGGTGAATCGCAACTCATCCAGGCTCCCAATTCAGTGAAAACTCAAAGTTTGAAGCATCAACACCAAGGGAAACATCACGGAACTTTCACAAGGTGAATCGCAACTCCTCCAGTCTCCCAAATCAG